TAAATTCTTCTGGGGAAAGAAAACCAAAAGAAAACAAACCTTGGCTTACCAAAATATTATAGCACAATATTAGTCAGTACATGTAAAAACACTTAGAAAACATGAATTAGGGAATTCTGTAGTCTTGAAGCCTTTTAGGGAATGTTGTAGTCTAAAGCCTCTTCCTGCCATAGACAGCATGAAATTTAAAAATACAACCAAGTCGAAGTGATAGTTCTTACATTTTGTCAAGCACAGAGGATATGTGGAACTTTCTTCTGCTGATTAATTGTTACATGTGCATCTTCATTTTAATGTGCTTATACACATTTGGTTCTGACAAAGAGCCTGGTGAGAGCAAAACAGGAGAAAATTGTTGGATGTTTTGATATAAGGAGATGCGAAAAGTATTCCATGATAACATACACTATATTTTATGCATTAGTATCACTTTCTTTCTGAGTCTTCCAAAGCTACTGTTTTATTTTGTGTGAACAAGAATGTTTCATGTCAAACAAATTAAATTGGAGGGAAGGACGTGGTGTTTCATTTTGAAAAGAAGTATTTGGGGGAAAAAAAAAAAATCAGTTCTGTGGAAATAATTGTCCAGTCAAGTCATCGATTAAAATTCAGTTGTTCAGGTATTCTTATCTGGTTATTCAAGTCTAGCTGCTCTCCTGCTGAAAGTTGTTCCTAAAGCTGTTAGCCTAGTACAAAATGTTCCTTATTTTACTTTAAAACTCCATCACCAACCTGAGTTTCAAGCACTGGGAGAGGTAAACAGCCATTTCCTTTCCAGCTATTAATTTTGTGCTACTGCTCATCAGAGATGGAAGCATAAAACAGAAAAAGAATTCCTGCATTTTCTTATTGTTGCTTTTATCTTCAAGGGTTCAAAAACCAAACTTGTTTATGTATGCACTTCACCCTGCTCTTGAGAACTAATGATTCTTCTGTGTGATAATGCAAGTAAAGAAATAGCAAAGAAATATGGTGGATCACCTCTGGCATATAAACACAAGAAGTGGTTGTGTTCAGCAAAATTAATAAAGATCTCAATACTATTAATTGTGCCACAGATGCTACTGCTTCAAAAGGGGAATAACAAAAAGGCACATTAATAAGGACAATAAAATAGTTACATAAGAGACTTTTTTTGAGAGATATTTCTGAGTCCAAAAAGCTCAGAAGGTACTGAAGAAAAATGGATTTAGGGTTACAGTGACTTTTAGAGTGTCAATATAATTTTGGGGAGGCATGTAATATGAGGGTACAGTACCAAAGTTGTGAAAGTTCAAGACAAATAATTTGAATTAGAAAAACAAGCTATTGGGAGGAGGAAAACCTATGAATATTATACCTAAAGGTACTTTTGTGCAAGAAGAAGGATAGCAGGAAACCCATGCTCTAAACATCAGTATCTCATCTCAGTTAAAGGGTGGTAAAAGCATTGGGAATGGTTACAGAGGAAGGCTGTGGAATTGCCACCGTGGAGATGGTCAGAACTAAGCCAGAGGAGACACTGAACAACCTACTCTAACTTTCAAGTCAGCCTGTTTTTAGCATGAGATTGACAAGATGACCTACAGAAACTACTTCCAATCTAAATTTCTTTTATTATACCATGATTCAGCTTGTCACAGATTGTTCTGAAAAACTTGGCAGGATAAAAGTTTTAAGAAATTAACGTCATGTACCCTGGAAGAAATTTTTAAGAGTGTTTAGGTACATAGTGAATGTATGACAGTTAAAAAAGGATATCTGTTTTGTAAGAAAATTTATATTTGCTGTGCTCCTCCAACCTCATACAGAAGGAAAAGACCAGAAGACCACTATTTTAAATATCCCAAAAACCATAATTCTGAAAATAGCAGCAGCAACAATAAGATTGTCCATAGGGATCAAAAAGTCTTCCTCTCTAGAGGAATAATACCGTAATGTTGTATTTAAATGTAGTCCTTCAGTCCTTCTTTCCGAAAACCCTCTAAATACAATACACTGGTTGTATCAGAGTACTCCTGTAAATTACACTCCATGCTTAAGTGAGGGCTATCTTACAGAATTTTGAGTCTTAATATTACTGAATAACTCAGTTGTTCAGTCATCGTCAGTCATGATAATTTTTCTGTATGTTTGATAATAGGAGGTAAAATACTAAAATGTCTGTGCAAGAAAATCCAAATTTATACAGCAGCACTGTATGAATGCACAGTAGGGCATTTAGTATAAAAGTGCCAAAAGCATAATTAATTATTATACCTACTTAGGAGTTTACGTATGTAATGTGTGTGTGTGTGTGTGTGTGTGTGTGTGTGTATTTGTGTGTAAATAAATACATATAAATAATATGCAACAGAACGGAAATTAGAAAAATTAGAAAAATTGGAAAATTGCCTGAGACCTAGGAAACTTCAAAGCTTTAAGTTCCTTGCACTTTTGGAAATGAGAGCTGAAAACCTTAATTCACATTTCTTCTCTCAGACATACATAGAAATTCATAATTTAAGATATTGCAAGGGTTTTTTTTTTACTTTAAATGATAACTTGGAAACCACTCTTGCATTTCACCATAGTAGATTTTGGACAATTACTATTTATTTCTCTTACATGAGTTTTAGGCGTGTGCAATCGATATACTTGTAAATTTCCCAAACTAAATTGAAATTATGTGCCTGGAAAGCACTTCTGTGGACACAGGATATGCTTTTACAGAACTGTACGTTCACAGCTGCATGTAACTACTGGTGAATAACCACCACAACAATAGCAAAACAATTCTATTTCTTGACAGTGATACTCGGTATAAAATGATATGGGTAAAGTGGTAAAGTTGGTAAATTTATAGCCAGTCCATACAGGCCCAGTGAATCCACATATATGTAAGGAATGCTTCAAAGAAGCACAAGAAGTTAAATATAATATCGGAATAACATGCTGAATTTTATTGGCTTGCATTACTTAGAAGACTGACAATACAATAATTTTTTTCTTTTTTATTGTACCCTAAAAATAACAAAATGCTAATTGCAAGAAAACAGATATTCTCTCCCTCACTATTGAATGCTTTGTGATACAGCATTTCATAATACAAGACATCAGAATGCAATGGGGTGTCCATTTTCTTGAGGAAGAAAAGATAAAGTTCTGATGCTTTTAGAGTTACTTAAACAGCAAAGAAAATCAGTTTTATAAGAAATTCTACTGATGAATAAATCGTGCATGATATGTTCCAATCAGCGTGGAAAAATACATTCCTAGGAAAAAAGCTCATTGCTAGTCACAATGTGTTCTGAGTTATGTATTGTGTAGAAATTGGTCTGTCTCTAGCTTGTTATTAAAAGCAGGAAAAAGGAAAAAAAGAGGAAGTAAGTAAAAAACATTTTTCAAGTGCTAGCAGCTGCAAAAAGTGGGTATTATCTCAAAGAATTTCAGACTGAAGCAAAATTTCACCCTTTCAGGGTGTTACACTGTCAGTTTGCTCTACGTAATGATATGCTTAAATGATTAAATGACAACTTCAAGACCTGAAAAGGATGTATAATAATTTTTATGTATGAGACCTTTATTAATTTACCTTGAATCTTTCCAGATGAAATGAAATAAAAGAATTACATAAATCCCATGTTTACCCTTAGATAATAACCTGCTGCTGTCTCTCAAGTCTCAGTGACTGAAATCTAAGGGACAATAGGCTTATTTTTATTTTAATAACTCCGATGTTTGAAACACATGAGGGGTAGACATTACCCTATATTTTAAGTGCATTATCCTTGTCTATGACTGCTTCCTCTAGTGCTCAGTTGTGATTCCAGGTACAAGCTGTGATGTTGGTATTGGACAGAGCACTGTCTTCTTCATCCTCTTTCAAGATAAAGTTTAAATGCCCAGGTTCACCAAATTTGTAGTACTCAATTTAGACAATATGAGGTAATGCACTCTCTCCTGTTATTCCATTCAGCTTCTCTTTTTTGCAGGGTAAGATACCTTAGACTTACTGCTTGGTAAGAGTATTCCTAAGCCAGATAAAATTATGTATTTCAAGTTCAAATTCTAGCTTCTGTTAAGAGTTTCCTGTTCATGTGCTCTTAACTTGTGTCATTAGCAAAGACTTCATCATCTATTAACACTAATAGTTCCATTAGAGTCTATCTAGAGTATTAAATTTTTAAATTAAGCCTTTAATTCCATTGTTCCCTTAATTTTTACTGTGGAGAAAATTCCTCACAGTTTTAGGCCTCATCATGAAAAAAAAAATCTGCTTATATACTTTGCCGTCCTTCATCCTCAGTAGCTCCTTATGTGCAAAGTCATTAGGAAGATTGTTGGAACAAGAAGAAGTGTAGACAGATAGCTTCTGCTTTATTTTCTAGATGGATATGAAGAAGATGTGAGTCTGGTAGGGCTGGGACATTCACAGCAACACAAATTCCCAGTTGTCTGTTCCTGTGGGTAGGATCAAGCACTGGAGCTGGGGAAGAGTAGTTAAGATGTTTGAGTTATCTCAGAAGACTAAAATTGTGCTTTAAAATCTTTTTTTGCCAAAGTGAATCTGTCTGTTTTAAGAAAAAATTATGAGTGAAGATGACTGATAAAGCATATCACCATTAAAATCTAATATGAGAGTGCCAAAGCAGTTATCTACAAAACAAACTACTGCTCAAGGTGGAGAACTGAGAGAAGTGATAGAGATGATTTCAAAACCAGAAGGGGGGAGCTGAGGCAAATTCACATTAGGCAGTGTAACAATGATTTTGAATGTGGCAAGGATAAACTAGAAACATATTGCTGAGAAAGAAGCATATTGCTAAGGAAAAGGCTGTAGTTGAGATCATCTCAGTAGTGTCTCAGGCAGACTGATATTTAAAGTCTGGGGAGGTACTTCAAGCCAAGTACTTCAAATACTGTGCAATCAACAGTTTATTTTACCATCTGAGCCAGATGTACTTTGATAGAAAGTTTAGAGCCTGGCAAACTTGTTTGAATCTCTCCTGCAGCTGCTGGAGTTCTAAAGGGATAAACAGGCTGTAGTCAACTCAAAGGCAGTTAATTTGGACCAAACGTGCAGTGACAGCTTAACATGCCAGCCATGTCAATGTCAGTTTTGTAGTGAAATAAACTACATGCTTTGGAGTTTTTTAATTTGAATGGATTAAAAATGAAAATAATCCCTGTTATTTTGTTGATTATAGCTGCCATTAAAAAAAATCATGCCACAGGGATACCTTTATCTAATTAATATTTCAAATACATCTCAAAAATAATTTAATTTTTATTCAGGGATGCTCATAATTCCTCATATCCGATGTTTAATAAGAAGGCCAGACCACTTTTCTGAGCAAAAAGAGCCTGCAGCATCAGCAGGTAATGCTGAGCCAAGACTGCTAAGGCAGTAAACGGTACAGGAGAACATGCAAAGGAATATGAACTTTCTAACAAAGTGCAGCAATCTTTTAATTGAGTCTGAATGTGTTAAAGTTGGCAATTTGCATACATATGACTATCCAAACTTACTTTTTCCCTTTTGCCTTTCATTCAGATCAAATGCCCTGTTCTGAATGAAGTGATGGACTACTGCACAAGCAATGCCAGTCACTTTGACAAACACAAGGGGAATTTGTACAGAACTGCCTCAAAAGGAAAGAATCTGTTAAAAGGGTGAGGCAGTATTAATTAACTTCTTAAGGAAGGAAAGGGCAAAGGAAATGAAAGAATGAGTTAAACTCAAACTAAGGACCAAGAAGGAACTCTATCAGATTTGCTGGAAGTTAATAATACATGACAAATTATTAAATCAGGATGACTACAAGCTACATGGAAAAAGAAGCCAAAACCCCAGAATGACTAGAGGCAGAATTTTAGGCAGTTTGCACAAGAGAAGTCCTGCAGCTACAGAAATGAGAGGGGAAAAAAAGGCAGCTATTTTTTTAAGATGCTTATGCATGATTTATATGCATGTGGGAACATAAGAGAAGAAGTATAGATGAAAAAAACCGGTGGTTCTGCATTGCTATTAAACTGAATTATGACCAAACTTTATCTGGTGATATACATTAGACAGTGTTGCTCAATACTCATAGTGCCAATTTTGCACTTTAGGAGAACTCAACTTTTCTGATTTTTTTTAGTAACTTATCAGTTTATTTCATCTTCCTGTTGTCTAGAGAATAGGAAAATATTTTTATTTCAATTTTTCCTTTCGATAAAAAACCCTCCTCAATTTAGTATCCAACAGAACATTATAGTGCAAATATTCCATTCTGAAATATCTAAAATCATGAAGATTTTTAACTTAGAATGAGATATCTTGATATTTTATGAACGTAATTTTAAAATTACAGAAACGAGAAGAAACATTTCTTTAACAGTTAATTATATCAGTATGAAAATATTCCTTGGATTAGTGCTTTAATCACAAATTTATCCTCTCCTTTTTTGATAAACTCATTTCATATTGATTCTGATCATAATACATTTTAGTATTGCTGAAGATAGAGGTGAGATTTCAAAACTGTCCTCTGAAAAATAAAAATTCCATTTTCACCAAGTGAGTTTTAATTCTCTGGTTTTAGTACTTTTCAGGTAGGGAATTGTTATTCATTGTTTTATCTGTTGTAACAACTCACAAATTGCTTCCTTGAGGCACGTTGATCATGCTTTCAATGATCAGGTTCTTGAAGTTCTTGTATTGACCTTTCACAAGTAAATTAATCTTATTTTCAAGTGCATGGTTGTTTTTAAGATCAAATAGACTCTCAAGTTTCTTAAATGCTCCTATGAATCATATATGTATTTTCAAGAGTTCATTTCTTGGCAGTATTTGTGGATCATTTTTTCCTTTGATATAAAAATTTAGAATTTTCTTCAGAATATTTCAGTGGGGTTACTTATAGGTTGATCAGTAGAAAATAGAAAGAAGAATCAAGCACAGCAAAAAAACCCAAACAAGACAATCTGGCAAAATGAGCAAAGAAAGCACACACACACACACACACACACACACACACAAAAGTAATAGCAGAATGATCTATTGCAATAGATGCTAAAAGTGGTTAAAGCATACAAAAGCAGGAAGCTTAAAAATTAAAAAAAAAAAAAGGTAAATAATAACTAAAAAAAAAAAGTTGCAGAAGCTTACAATAGATTTTAGATCCTCAGGATGCATAAATTATTATTGCTCCATTTTATTTTCTGCAACAAGGCCTTCTAAATAATGTAAAATACTCAGGATAGCCTTAACTGTGAATTGCAAATGAGAGCTCAGTTTCAACACACATTTCAAAAATAATAAAATATAGTCTAGATTTGACTTGTTACTCATGCTGAAACAAAGATATTCATTTCAAAACACGTTATTGGGCTGTCACACCTCTAGAACACAATACTAGTTAAGGGATGAGGAACTTAGACATCTCTGGAAGTTGTCTCTATACAATAAAAAAACCTGGTGAAACCTTTTGAGAAGGGATTTCTGACAAGGGGTCAAACAACACTGGCAGAGGGGCTACAGCAGTTGTTTGGAAATCCTTTTAAGAAACTTTATGTCACCTTGCAATGCAAAGGATGAAATTTTATCTGTCCTTTTCTGGATGACACTGTTTAAATGTAATGTGTTTTGGCAACGAATCAAAAATCAGACTTCCTATGGGATTTCTAGTCTTTACTAGTTCTCTAGAATGATAGAGCTCTCTGCTCCAACTTGTTATGGAGAGCAATGACAGCACAGTTGCCCTGCCAAGACAGCATTCTGTACCAGTGGGAAATTATCTGAAGGACACAGTAATAAATCTGATTTATTTTACCAAGTTATTTATTTGTATAACTGTACACTTGCATAATAATATGAAGGATAAATGAAAACATGAGAGCAAAGCTCTGTTTAATGAAAGAAGTGTAAGAAGAGAACAGTCCAAGGCACTAATCAATTATATCTGTGCATTAAATGATTTAAATGGAAGCTGACAAGAGTAGCTACTAGGACTTAATCACATGGGGGTTTTTTCATTTGTTTTGTTTCTTTTTTTAATTTTAAGTTTTAGTGGAGGTTGATGAAACCTGTCAATGGATGTTTTTTAGTTCCTCAGCAGCATAATTTTAGATTTTTTTGTTTTTTAATCTACCTTGAGATAAAACATCTGGTCTTATAGGAACTTCAACATGGTTTAGTTTTTCAATCACTACAAAACACATTCACATGTAGTACTGTTGGTCTTTTGTGTGTCAGCCTCTTAGAAGAATTCACTGTGTCTCCATGGAGCCTAAAATGCAGAGCCTCATATGGGAGGGAAATATGGTTCTACTTCACCTTTACCTCCCACAGCTGTGAAAGCTGTCAGCTTCTAAAGCTGACAAACTGAGAATTTAGAATATCCTCAGAATAGTTCAGTTGTCTCACACCAGTGTTTCTTTCCCCTGGAGAAAGGCAAGAACTTTTCTTATGGATTTTCCTTTTTCAGTAATGACAGCAAGATCAACTTTCTCCCTCTGCATATTATTTGGATATATCCTCTATATTTACTACAGTAGTTGTATAGCTATAAAGAATCATCTTTCAATACTCAGTTTATGTGAGTAACTGAGTTCTGAAATATCTTAAGAAATGTTCTAGTAGCCAGTAAGCATGAAAAAGCCTTTAAAGACTGGAATAGTTTCAAATGCTGTTTGCTCTACTGCCAAAAATCACATTTTTAAATGTCTACTCTTAGCCTTTATTTCACACACAGATATCTCTGGAGCCATGCAAGATGTTACTTCTTATTTAGCTGAAAACTGGCATTTCAAAATTTGTCCTTTTTCCAAATCAAATAACTATTTTTCAGATCCTTTCCCATGAAAAATGAGTCCTTTTAAATATCAGCAAATTTGGTTTTTTTGTTCTTCTATTGCTTGCATGATTTGACAGTATTTCATAGCACAATAGGTTCCTATTATGAACTAATAATTTTTTCTATCTACATGTACTCATAATTCATAGAATCATAGAACATCTTGATTTGGAAGGGACTGACAAGGATCATTGAGCCAACTCCTGACTCCACACAGGTTGACCTAAATTAAATCTTATATCTAAGAGCATTGTTCAAATGCTTCTTGAACATCAACAAGCTTGCAGCCATGATTACCTCCCTGGGGCCCCTGTTCCAGTGCTTGAACACTGTCTCAGTGAAGAACTTTTTCCTAATATCCAGTTCATATTTTTAATTTTCCTAAAAAGTGTGCATCATTTACACAAATTATGGGGTTCATCTCATCTACATTTAGTTGCATAAAAATCAGGCAATTCATCAAAGTCAACTAGACTTTATAGTCAGTAGGCAGAAATAGTCATCTCTAAATCAAAGCTCTTTTCAAATATTTATCACCATCATATTATGTACCTGTTTAAACTCTCACTACCAACAGAACACGGCCTACAGTTTGCATATTGTACTGTCAGTTGTTCTTGCTAAGACACTGCTACCTCTCCTGCAATTACATTAGTATTAATACATTCTCAAAGTTCACCAGGTTAAAACTTACAAGAGGAAAATATGAAATTTCTATTATAAATAAATGAAGAAATAGGTCTACTTGTTTGGTGTAAAGGAAACAGAAAAAGAAAGGTAATATTTGCACAGATTTTGTGGACCTCTGCATTGACTTATAAATTATAAAAATTGTACCAAATAGACCTGAATAATTTGCATGTGAATAAATAGTTTTAATTTTTGTTATCCACAGATGCTGCAATATGAAAAAGATTTACATAATTGCCAATATACAATTGCTATTGGCTTGTTAATTTTTCTCATTCATACTTGCTTAAAATACAATTTGGATCCAGATTTTTATAGTTCACAAGAAATTATTTTATATTTCACAAATGTGGCATAAAAATGTCAAACACAAGTAGAAATGAATTTGCCTTTTTACTTCGAAACACAAAACATTTAAAACTCTCATAAGAAATATTGCTTAGAAAAAAGAACACTGTAGATTGTATCAATTGCAAAGAACAAGGCTTCTGAAAACTGTGACCCTAACTCTTAAAAATGTTTTCCAGTAACACATAAAACATGTCTTGTCATATAAGTTCCAAACCTTTAATTAGCCTTTAATATATTGTTTTCTTTTAAAATGTCCCTCTTAATTATTCATGTCAGTGAAGCAGACTAATTATGCTCCTTGGATAAAAGCACATTGGATCATTAATCTTTCTTTTTCAGTGACATCTAAACAGCAGCTATGATGAACAAGATAGCATTATTTTCTTATGATTTTTTGCCTATATTAGACAGACAAAGTTTAGTATTCTTAAGGAATGACAATGTTCTTTAAAGATTATATTTATGATTGTAACATTCAAGTGAAATATTAAGAAAAAATTAGACACCATATTCAATCACTTATTATTTCTGAATTTTATTGTCAATTAATTTTTTGCCTTTAGTGTTTTTCATGTTATGGTTATCATGTTAAACTATATTGGCTAAGGTTTTCACAAGGCTATTATCTATTATCTGTTATCTATTATCTATTACATATTATCTATTGATAATAGATGCAACTCTCCAATATTAGTTACCAAACCTTTGGGATACATAAGAAATAAAAAATACTTTTTAGTTTCTTCATTTTAAAATTTAATGCAAAAAATTTAATTAATTTTTCAGAAAACTGGATGTTTAAGATCTTCCTTCTTCTCTCTCATTTAGCCTTAAAACTACAATAGTCACAATGTGTTTTATTACCACTGGGTTTTGTTTTACAGTTCCTATTCTGTAAAACCTTGCTGTGACACATTATTACACTGGTTATCAAATGTAGTCATTTGCTCTGTTTTTTACTATAAAGTTAAAGGGCACAGAAACTAATTCTTAATTGGCAAATGTAGCCAAACTGTTGAATCCTTTCCTAGTTAATGTTCATCACTTTTTTTGCTTTAGTTCCTCATTGTCTTCTGGGTTTTTTAAGTGATCTTGATCTCATCTCAAATATTTTCAAAGTGTAATATGATTCTGTAATAGGGAAACCTGTAATATACTAACACATACATGTATGTTCACTTAAAATTAGTTAATTGCATC